TCTTGGGGAAGCGAGAGGGGGGCTGATGAGAGCCGGCAAGACCTGGCGAGGAGGCAGCCTCCCCTGTCAGCCCACGGTGCCCATGGCCAGCCCCAGTCCCAGCCCCGGTGGTCATTTTCTTTTTTTTTTTTTTTGGAGCGATTTTCCCCATGGGGAGACAGACAGAGAGAGACATAGAGACAGAAAGCGAGAGATCACCCCCCAGGGGGGATGGCCACGCCGCAATCCCTTCTCCGCCATTCTCCTCTCGGGATCTTGGGCACGCATGCACACGCGCCCGGCGTGAGTTTTAAGCCACCGGGTCCGGGATGCGAACCGCGGTCGACTACGTGGGAATCCAGCGACATAGCCATTATGCTAACTGCTGGTTCCCTATTCTCTAACCTGGCTCAAAAGATGTCCTCACCCATGTTCTCCCTCCACTATCCCCAGGGCTGCTCCCCAATCGCTTAATCGGTGACAAAATTCTATCTTGTGAGCTCCTGCACAGATTGTTACAAAATGCCTTTTTTTTTTAATAAAAGAATTATTTAATTACTTATCTATTCATTCATTCATTTATTTGAATTTGACCAGAGAGAGACACAGAGAGAGAAAGAAGGAAAGTGAGAAAGCAAGCCACCAGGTCCAGGACTCGAACCACGGTTGACCATGTGGAATTGTCCAGCAGCTTAACCACCATGTCGCCTGCTCACCCTCACAAACTGCCTTTTTAAAACATATTGTTCTAGGGGCCAGCAGTTAGAGCAATGGCTATGTCGCTGGACTCCCACGTAGTTGACCGCGGTTCGAGTCCCAGACCCGGTGGCTTAAACTCACGCCGGGCGCCTGTGCGTGCGTGCCCAAGATCCCGAGAGGAGGATGGAGGAGAAGGGATTGCGGTGTGGCCATCGCCCCGGGGCGGGGGGGGCTGATTTCTCGCTTTCTGTCTCTCTGTCTCTCTCTGTCTGGCGAGCGCACGCGCCCTATAGCAAAAAAAAAAAAAAAAAAAAAAGCTTGTTCTAGGGTCCAGCAGATGGCGGAGCAGTTACATCACTGAACTCCCATGGCTGACTGTGGTTCAAGTCCCGGACACGGCTTGAAACTCATGCCAGGCACATGTGTGTGCGTACCCAAGATCCCGGGAGGAGAATGGAGGAGAAGGGATTGTGGCATGGCCATCCCTCGGGGGGAGGGGGTGATTTTTCACTTTCCCTCTTACTGTCTCTGTCTCTGTCTCTTTCCAGAGAGTGCATGTGCCCTAGGCGAAAACTCCTAAAACAGCAACAAAATTGTTCTAAATTCCCAGAGGAGGATGCCAGTGAGTGGCATAATGGTTAAGGAGCTGGTCTCCCATGCAGCCAACTGTGGCTTGAGTCCTGGACGCAGTGACTTGAAAAATCACACTGGGGGCCTGTGTGTTCCCGCCGCAAATCCCAGGAGGTGAATGGAGGAGAAGGGACTAAAGTCTGGCCATCCCCCCGGGAGGTGATTTCTCACTTTCTGTGTCTCTCTCACGAGTTCATGCATCCTATGGCAAAAAACTTAAAAAATAAAATAAAATTGCCAGAGGGCGTGAACACTTGCCAGAGAAAGACAGAGAGAGTGAGAACACCTCCCGTGGGGTATGGTCGCACTGTCATCTGGTCCCCATTGCTCTCTACAGTTGGGATTTTTTTTTTTTTTTGAGAGTTTTTTTTCTATAGGGCGCATGCGCTCGCCAGAAAGAGACAAAGAGACAGAAAGTGAGAAATCACCACCCCCGGGGGGGATGGCCACACCGCAATCCCTTTTCCTCCAAGGATCTTGGGCACGCATTATTTAATTTATTATTATTATTATTATTATGGGTTTTCAAATTGACCAGAGAAAAACAGAGGGGAAGAGAGAGAGAGAGAAAGTGAGAAAGCAAGCCGCCAGGTCCAGGACCTGAACTGCAGTCGGCCATGTGGGAGTCTAGTGCCCTTAACCACCATGCCACCTGCTGGCCCCCTTTCTTTATTTATTTTAAACATTTTTTTAAAAGAATTATTTTAATTTTTAACTTTCATTTATTTATTTATTTAGATTTGACCACAGAAGGACAGAGAGAGAGAGAGAGGGAAAGTGAGAAAGCAAGCTGCCAGGTCTGGGACTCAAACCGCAGTTGACCACATGGGAGTCCAGTGCCCTTAACCACCACACCACCTGCCGGCCCCCATTTGTGAGATTCTTTTTTTTTTTTTTTAAAGAATTATTTTTATTTAACTAGATTTATTCATTTTCATTTATTTTAATATGACCTAGAGCAGACAGAGAGAGAGAGAAAGACAGAAAGCAAGCCACCAGGTCCAGGATTCGAACCGTGGTCGGCCATGTGGGAGTCCAGCGCCCTTAACGACCATGCCACCTGCTGGTCCCATCCCATCTGTGAGATTCTTAAGACCACCTGTGACACGGACTCCCATGCATAGCTGCCAGACTCCAATGGCCTGACTGACGCTCAGACTGCCCTGTGCTGGTGACACGGTCCGCCCTGCTGGCACCCAGGAACCACACCCCTGGTGGCTCCGTCGCCCCAGGGAGACCCATGCTTGCTACAGCTTGCGAAGCCCCCAGGGCCAGCCATGGCTTAGAAGGCTCTTTCTGTCAGTGTTTACCCGAGGTCGAGAATATACTGCCCTGCGGTCCTCGCTCCCAGAGGAAATCTATTTTAAATAGTTCAACAGAGATTTGTGCACACTCAGTATTGAGATCTCTCTCAAGGGAGATACCCAGTTTGTTCTGGGGGTGTAGAAGAAACAACATGGGAGCCTGACTGGGTTTACGTGAGAGGTCAGCGTGGGGACTGGAATGGTTCCTTCTCCTTTTTTTTTTTTTGGAGAGGTTTTTGCTATCGGGCGCATGCACTTCCCAGAAAGACAGAGAGACAGAAAGCGAGAAATCACCCCCCAGGGGGGATGGCCACACCGCAATCCCTTCTCCTCCATTCTCCTCTCGGGATCTTGGGCACGCACGCACACGCGCCCGGCGTGAGTTTAAGCCACCGGGTCTGGGACTCGAACAGCGGTCAACTACATGGGAGGCCAGCAACATAGCCATTACGCCAACTGCTGGTCTCCTTTTTATATTAATTACATTTCTTCTGAGAGAGAGGAAGGCAGCCCCCAATAGGGTGTTTACTTATTTTTTAAAATATTTTTCTGAAGGACCAGCAGATGGTGAAATGGTTACGTCGGTGTACTCCCACATAGTCAATTGTGGTTCGAGTCCCGGACCCGGTGGCTTAAATTCACACCGGGCGCGTGTGCGTGCGTGCCCAAGAAACCGAGAGGAGAATGGAGGAGAAGGGATTGCGGCGTGGCCATCCCCCCGGGGGGGTGATTTCTCACTTTCTCTCTCTCTGGCGAGTACATGCACCCTATACCAAAACTCACTCTAAAAATAAACTTTTTTTCCTCAGGTTTTTGTCGTAGGGCATGTGCACTCTCCAGAGAGAGACAGAGACAGAGACAGTGAGAGGTAAAGTGAGAAATGGCGGATGAGCACGCCACAATCCCTTCCTGCATTCTTCTCCTGAGATTTTCGGTACGCATGCATATCTGTCTGGTGAGCTTTTCAAGCAGCCGGGTTTGGGACTTGAACCACCATCTGTCATGTGAGAGTCCAGCATCTTAACCACTATACCGCTTGCTACCCGCCCCCCCCCCATAAATAGGGTGTTTATGCACGTTGCACCACCCCAGCTGGACCTGATCTCAGATCAAGTGAACAAGGTGTTGGGACATGATTTGAGGTCCTTCCCAGGTGAGCCCAGTTGCTGCCAGGTCTGGGACTCGAACCGCAGACTCAGTCATGTAAGATCCAGCACCTTAGGAAAAAAAAAAAAAAAGAAAGAAAAAAGAACCAGCAGTTGGTGTAATGTCTATGTCGGTGATGTCTCGCTCTCTGTCTCTCTGTCTCTCTCTGTCTTTCTGGCGAGTGCACATGCCCTATAGCAAAACCCTCTCCAAGAAAAATTATTAAGAAAATCGCAGCATGGGTTGGCCATGTGGCTGGTGGTTAAGGAAGATGGATTCCATATGATTGACTTCATGGTTCAAATCCCAGACCTGGTGGCTTGGAAAACACACGGGGGGAAGGGGGGGTTGGATAATGAGGCGGACTCAGCAGGCTGAGTGCTGGACCCAGTGGCTTGATAAACACGCCGGGCATATGAGCTTCAGTGTTCAAAATCTCGAGGTGGGCACCGGCAGGTGGCGTGGTGGTTGGGATGCTGGATACTCACATGGCCGACCACGGTTCAAGTCCTGGACCTGGTGGCTTGCTTTCTCACTTTCCCTTTCACTCTCTCTCTGGTCAAATAAATGATAATAGTAATTGGAACCAGCAGTTAGCGTAATGGCTATGTTGCTGGACTCCCACGTAGTCGACCACGGTTCGAGTCCCGGACCCAGTGGCTTAAAACTCACACCGGGCGCGTGTGCGTGCGTGCCCAAGATCCCGAGAGGAGAATGGAGGAGAAGGGATCGCGGCAGGGCCATCTCCTCTGGGGGATGATTTCTCGCTTTCTGTCTCTCTGTCTCTCTCTCTCTGTCTGGCGAGCGCACGCACCCTATAGCGAAAACCTCTCCAAAAAAAAATAAATAATAGTAATCATAATAACAAATAAAATGACATAAGAAATTATTAAAAACAAATCCTGGTGCCAGCGAGCGGCGTGGTGATTAAAGGTGCTGGACGCCAACATGGCCGACCACGGTTCAAGTCCCAGGCCTGGTGGCTTGCTTTCTCACTTTCCCCCTCCTTTCTCTGTCGCTCTCTGATCAAACTAGAAAATAGTAATAATACATAAAGTTAAATAAAAAATAATTCTTTAAAAAAAGAAAAAAGTCTTTAGAGGAGAACAGAGGGGAAGGGATTATGGTGTGGCCATTCTCTACCTTAGGGGATGATTTCTCACTTTCCCTTTCTCTGTATCTCACAGAACACACGTGTCTTACGGCAAAGCTCATTCCAGTGCACCAAAGGAAAGAAAAACAGTGGGTGTGTGTGCATGCATGCCCAAACCCCAACAGGATAGAGAAACAGAGAAGGGGTGTCCAGAAACTATGAGGGGTGTTCCCCACCCCCAGTGCATGTGCCCTGTGGCCAATGTAAAGAGTTAACATACAAGTTGTGACCAGCAGGTGGCGATATGGCTATGTCGCTGGACTCCCATGTAGTCAACCGCGTTTTGAGTCCCGGACCGGGTGGCTTAAACTCACGCCGGGCGCGTGTGCGTGCGTGCCCAAGATCCCGAGAGGAGAATGGAGGAGAAGGGATTGCGGTGTGGCCATCCCCCCTGGGGGGG